AGCGAGCCGTTCTCCACGAACCTGTTCGAAGCGCGCCTGGTGTGAGCAGAGCCAGACAACAAACTTCGAAGCGCGCATGGTGGTGGTGGTGCAAACGGCGTACTCGAGTATCATGTTGATGTGGTTGTCCGAATCCACCAGGCCCAAGTATTTTACAATATGTTTGTGGTCCAACGTCTTGAGGAGGTCAATCTCGCCCTGATGATGACGCCAACCACACGCAAAGGCAAGCAACACGCGCCGCAGCCATGACGTTGAGTGCCAGGAAGGGGACATCGCGTAGGGGGAAGGCACGGTACCTTGAGGTTGAGGAGCATCTTCTCGTTGATGCCCTCCTTGCTCAGCCGCTTGATGGCGACGTGATTGCCCGTTTCAAAATGGAGTGCCTTATATACAATGCCGAACGCGCCCTTGCCCACCTTCTCGACCAGTTGCTGTTGCGACACACGTGTGCACCGACGATAACAGAGAGGACGAGAGAAGAAGTGAGAAGAACCGTTGCGGGGAGAAGGGCGAAGGATAGAGGAAAAAAAAGTGGGTGATGAAAGAATGCAGATCTGGAATTGTTGAAGGAATGTGCAAAGTCATACTGAGAGAATGACGAATCGGAAGAAACACTACATAAAATCGCCCCTGCTCATTGCCAAGGGAACAATGGGGCGGACGCTACTGAAATTTGCACGTTGCAGGGAAGGAGGGAAAATGAGGAGGAGGGAAGAGGGCTGGGGGCGAGACGTACGTATTGACCGAGGACCGTAATTGTTTTGCCCTGCTTCCTGTGGGCTATAGTCTTGAATTTGTCATCGTAGTCCAGATCGGCGAAGGAAATGGAGGGCTTCTTTCGGTGCACGCGTTCGGTGTCGTTGATGAAGGAGGGACGAGGCCCTTTCCTTGCGGGCGTGCCGCCATAGGAATTATTCTCCCTCTTCAGGGGTGTTTCGCCCTTCCTGTGGCTCCGTGGTGGCGATGCTGACGCCTGTGACGCCAGATCGCGACTCGATCGTGAGGCAAACATGCCGTGTTGTTGTAATCGCTCGACTCTTCGTTCCTCCAGTTCGGAATCCTCGTTAATCCGACACTCGTTATCGCCTCTTGTATCAATTTCTCGAATCGATATACTCTCCCCCAAAGATGACAGTCGATGATGATACGTGCACCGAAGATGCAAAGGACGTTCGCACCCGATGTTTCGCCCCTTGCGCAATCAAATGCGGGCCGTGTCCTCTCTCTCTCTCTCGCCGATGCTGCAACCTCGCTCCTCTTGTATTTTGATTTTTCTAATCAACCGCGGCCCAACGGTCGTTGCCGCAGTGCCCTGTTACCGACGCAATGAATACCCGAGCGGTGTCGACGACAACTAACCCAACAGCAGTTGTCGCCCAAACCCAACAGACCACCCGCCCTCACCGTTACGGTGAGCTTGAGTACCTTGGGTACCGCAGTCAAATCTGAGTGGGTTTGGCGTACAACAGGTGGTGGTGGGCACGCCTCAGCACCTTGCCTAATCGAGGTTTGGCTTACAACCAACAGGGCATTGACACGTCAGCCATCCTACCGGCCACTCACCGCGCGGCCCGACGGAGGGTACACCCCTTCACCCCTTTGGCTTCCACTCCGGGTGTCTCTTGGCAAGTCCTTTTTTTCGATTTATTGTTGTATTTCAGCGGCGCGAGTGTATTGTAAAAGGGTGATCAGCACCCCTTCAGCTTCTTCTTCATCTCCAACAACTACAACAACTACTATGGCTGAAGGCAAGGTTTCGCAGCAGGAGCTGGTGGCCCAGTGGGAGGCGGTGCAGGTGAAGACCTTCACCAAGTGGGTCAACTCCCACCTCAACAAGAGGGCCATCGCCGTGGACAACGTTCGCACCGCCTTCCAGGATGGTGTCAACCTCATCCACCTCCTCGAGATCATCTCCGATGAGACCCTCCCCAGGAAGAACCTGAACCCCAAGATGAAGATCCACAAGGTGGAGAACGTCGGTACGACAATGACCACTTTCCCGCTTCTTCGCGTAGCGGCTCAGAGAACCAACAAAGAATAAAAGAGACTCACCCCCTTGACCGCAACCTACAACAGGTTGGGCTCTCAAGTTCATCGCCGAACACAACGTCAAGCTCGCCTCGATCGGCCCTAACGAGATCGTCGATGGTGACGTCAAGTACGCCCTCACTACACAGTTCCCATATCAACCCAAGCCTTCTTGTCCAGTTCTTCTGACGATCGACCCCCCCTTGGCAGGTTGACCCTCGGTATGTTGTGGACCATCATCCTGCGTTTCGCCATCGCCGGCCTCAGCGAGGAGGGCATGTCCGCCAAGCAGGGTCTCCTGCTCTGGTGTCAGCGCAAGACCGAGCCCTACAACAACGTCGACGTGAAGGACTTCTCGCCCTCTTTCCACGACGGCCTCGCCTTCTGCGCCCTCATCCACCGCCACCGACCCGTACGCCTCCCTACTACCACTACCCAATCCTTGTCGGGCTTCTTCTTCTTCTTCTACCTCGTCTAATCCTCATCATCTTTTCACATCCTTCATCTCAGGACCTGATCGATTACGAGAAGCTGACCAGCGAGGACAAGCTGGGCAACCTCAACCTGGCCTTCGATGTGGCCCTGAGGCATCTGGGCGTTCCCCGCATTCTCGATGCCGAGGATATCGCCAACATGCCCCGCCCCGATGAGAGATCCGTGATGACCTACGTCGCCCAGCTCTACAACGTGTTCGCCTCCATGGACAAGGTCGAGCACGCCGGTCGCCGTCTCGGCAAGGTGCGTCGATCAACCTCTGCCCCCCCCCACGCTAAATGGCCCAGAATCTCTTGTTCTGTGTGCTGTTACATAGCAACAATATCGTACACTGTTGACCCTCACAACTTGCTAACATCAATATTGTCAATATGTGTGCAGTTCGTCAACTTCTCGAGGCAGATCGATGAGATGCAGCAGGAGTACGAGCAGAGGACCAAGGCCCTCAACGACCAGGTCAACGCCAAGGCCCGACACTTCGGCGACCAGCCCCACGGTACCCTTTTTGGTTGTTTGGTTCGTATCAAGCTCTCGGCTCACCCTCAACGGTTGCGGTGGAACCGCAGGCGAGGACTACGCCAGCGTCAAGGCCGAGATCGCCGAGCTGAGGCAGTACAAGACCTCGGCGAGGCGCGAGTGGGTCGTGGAGCAGGCTAACCTGGCCACCCTCCTGGGCAACATCCAGGCCAAGCTCCAGTCGCTCAAGCGCCCGCTCTACGTGCCCCCGGCCGGTCTGTCCGTAAGGGACGTCGAGCTCAACTTCGAGGCCCTCAGCGGCGCCGAGCGAACGCGCCGCTCCGCGCTCAACCAGAAGCTCAGGGCCATCCTTGGTACCGAGCTCTCATCATGACGTGGTGTTGTTGTACTTGAGCCCCTGTCGGCTAACCAGTCAACTTGTGTGGTACCATGCAGATGCCCTGCGTCACGACTTTGCCAACGTGGCCAACCCCTTCTACGACCACCTGCAGGCCATCCGCTCGGCGCTCCACTCGACAGCCACCGACCTGGCCGAGCAGCTGGCGCTCTTCGTGGCCAAGACCGAGGAGCTCAAGAGCCTGGCGCCCCAGCTGGGTCCCATCGAGGAGGCCGAGAAGAGGGCGCACGCGGCCAACATTGAGGACAACGAGTACAGCGACCACACCTACGAGGATCTCGCGTTCGAGTACGAGCAGCTTTCGGCCGTGTTCTCCAAGAAGGTGTCCTTCATCGAGAGCCAGATCGCCGCCGACCAGTCCTCGGGCGTCTCGGCCGAGCAGCTCCAGGAGTTCAAGGAGTCGTTCAACCACTTCGATATCGATGGCGACCGCAAGCTCTCCAAGTACGTCATGAACCATCTTCTTCTTCTTTCTTCTTCAATGCGCCACTTCTGACGTTCTGCTCTCTCTCAGGCTCGAGTTCAAGTCGTGCATGTCTTCGCTGGGTATCGTCAACGTTGACTTCGGTCAGGGCGGCGACAAGGCCTTCGAGGAGATCTTCCAGAGGGTCTCCAACAAGGGTACACGCACTCACGACACGCGCAAGCACGACACTCACGCACAGCACACAACAGCGCACAACGCTGACTCGTTGTGTGCGTGTGCCGCAGGTGCCGAGGTCAACTTCGACCAGTTCGTGGACTACATGGTGTCGATCACTGCCGATGCCGCCTCGCTCGTGCAGCTCCAGGACGCCTTCTCGTCAGTCACCGGCAACAAGGCCTTCATCACGGAGAACGACATGAGGGTGGCTCAGCTCCCTGAGGACCAGGTACGCACTCACGGCGTCATCGGCTCTTTGGTGTTCCTCTATCTCTCTCTCTCTGACCCACGATCGTCTTCGACACCAACAGGTCCAGTACCTGCTGTCCGTGCTGCCGCCCACCCAGGGAGGCTACGACTTCAAGGCCTGGCTCAGCGCCCAGTTCGGCGTCGCCCAGTAAGTTGATGGGGCGTGGGTGTAGTATGGTGTGTGGGACGGGCATACGATGAGGATCTCACAACAAAGAGGCAGATGCCCCCAATAAAAAGATAACACACAGGCACACCGGAAGAGCGCAACGTGGTGATAAGGTGGAGGGGTGACAGCAATGTGTGTGCATGGATGAGGTGATAGGCCAATATGTTATTATTCTGCAGGCATCAGAAATCTGATGGCTGAACAAATGGAATTACAAGCTTTGAACATAGAGAGAAGAGAAACAGCAGATGATGGTGTCATACTTACATAAAAAATGATAAAGCGAGGGATCGCACTCTACTTCTTGACCGCAGCTGCTTTGCTCTCGAACTCGGCCTTCTTGGCATCGTCGCCCTTGAGCTGGAAAATGAGCGCGATGTCGCTGAGGAATTCAGCGAGCCTGGGATCCGCCGGATTCTTGTACACTCGCTCCCATACTTGCAGCGATTGGAGGTAGTTATCGATGGCCCTGTCGAAATCCCTTGTGTGCGCATAGACGTAGCCCAGCGCGCTGTGGGCGATCGCCAGCGGCTCGGGTTCGCAATCGGCGGTCGAGAGGGCCTCATCTCTCGATACAAGCAGCTTCTTCTCAGCCGATTCCCACTCATTCTTCCCTGCGTACTTCATGCCAGCGATGAGGTTCAACTCGGCGGGCGATGGCGCGGGGGTGTTCCCTCTCTTGTCGTACTGCGCTAGGCTCATGACGTCGAGCAGGCGTACAGGGCTGGCGAGAGGGATGGGAGGGGATTGTGCGCTACTGTCGGCCATTGCGAGGTTCGGCGTGAATGAATTGCGGACGATCGAGAAGTGAGAATAAGAATAATGAATGAGACAAGGGTGAGGTGTTGATCGAGAAGATCACGCCACGAGGAGCTGTGCAGAGAATGTCTGCATAAGGGACAACTACCGGACAGCTTCGGCAAGGTCAAAAAAAAGCAATAAATAACTCAAAACAGATAAAATAAAACAAAAACTGTTGAAGAGATGGACGACGACTACGAGGAGACGCTGCTGATCATCAACGAATGCTTTGTCTATAAGATTCCTCCGCGCAGCAGTGCCGAGGGCTACCGAGCGAAGGACTGGAACATCGAGACCTTCATCTGGAGCGGTCGCCTCGTCATCAAGGCGCAGGGCGAGATGTGCGTCATTCGTCTCGAGGATCCCAACACCGGTACGCCTTATTTGGCCTTTGCCGTTGCCCGCCCCTTTGCCTTGTCCATTGATTTGAAGGAGCGCCATGCACTTGCACGTAAAGAGGAAAAAAGCAATTAATCGAATGCTGAATTCTGTCTTCCATCTCGTTAGGCGCCCTGTTCGGACTGTGCCCCGTCAACACGACCGGTCCCCAGGCCGTCGAAGCCGTGCTCGACTCCTCCCGCTACTTCGTCCTCAGGATCGAAGATGGTTCTACTCGCCCCTCTTATTTTTTATTTTTAATTCTTATTTTTATTTGTGTATTGACCGGTGGCGGTACACACAGGACGGGGGCATCACGCCTTCATCGGCATGGGGTTCACAGAGCGTTCGGAGGCCTTCGACTTCAACGTAGCGCTTCAGGACCACGCCAAGTACGCCCAAGTGAAACCCCTGGCGGACTGCTCGCTGTGTGCGCTGTGTGGGCTGACCAGCGATCGCGGCGGCTGCTGCTGCATAGGGAGGTGAAGCGAAAGAAGGAGATGAAGCACGCACAGGACAGACTCGCCCAGGAGCCCGCCCTCGACTTCAGTCTCAAGGAGGGGCAGACCATCACCGTCAACATCAAAACGGTACGATGACGACTACTCCTCAAGTTCGCAGTCACTCGCATCCAACGCTGCGAGTCCTGTCCGCAGCGGCCCACGCCCATGGCTGACGTTCTTTCGTCGTTCGTGTGTGCAATCAATCGAATGGTGGTTGGTGTCCAGCCCAAGAAAGCAGCGCCGACACAGGACAGGACACCTGTTCTCACCGGCGGCGGCTTCAGCACCCCCTTCCTTCCGCCCCCACCAGGTAAGCCACCACGGGGTGCCCTGTTCTATTCCTCTCTTCTTCTTCTTCTTCTTCAATGTTGTTGGTTTGAGTCGTTTGTTTGTTGCGTAGTTGGTCGTTTACACCTTGGCCGTGTCGTGTGGCAGGCGCGAAGAAGAAGACGCCTGCCGCCCCCACTGCTCGCGCGGCTGCCAAGCCCAACGAATGGGGCTTTTGAGCCTCGCCCTCCCTCCTCACACACCTGTAACAGACTCAGCGCTTATCATTTTATTCAACACTCCAACTTTTTGTCGTGTGCACGATCGGTTGATATGTACACCTGTGCACCGCCCAAGCTGAAGGAGGAGGAGGAGGAGGCATCTCGTTCTTACAGCCAGGGGGCGGCAACCCAGCTTACCCAACTGCCAGCGGCGCTGGAGAAGCAGACGGACCGTAGGGGAGGCTCTCGGCGCACGGGTGGAAGTCGAGCGCACGAAGGTGCCACTCGGCCCAGCAAAGAAGAAGAAGCAGCAGAGCAGGCAAAGGCCGGCGACGCCGAGGCGGACGGGCTAGCACTGGGCGATGGTGCGTTCATGATCGACGAGTACTGTGATGGTAGGTGGCGACAAATCCACGCCTAATAGTTTGATGTGCTGACGCTGCCTTCACCCTCTCCGACTTTTTCGCCACCGCCACCGCGCAAGGCGCTGCCCTCAACTTCGCCGTCTACGAGACAGACGGCACGGCTAGGACTGTCGGCCGGTCCGACTACTGGTACTCCGCTAGATTCGGCTATCGCGCTTCGGCCTTTGACCCCGAGGACCCCCAGCGAAGGCGGTGTGGTCCACACAGCGGAATAAAGATTGAGACAATGGCGACACCTCTGAGCAGCCATCGTGGGGCCACCCCAACTGCGACAGCGACGACGCCTGCGAGATTGTTTTCTACAGCACTACGCGCGCATCAGCCTCGGACATCGTCGCCGAACTAGCCACGTTGGAAGACGAAGTGGGTGGGTCCACCACCATCATCGGTTGCACGAAGGCCGATGTGACCTCCAGCGCATGCCTCTGCCCCTTTGGGGTCGAGGGAAGAGCTCCTATAGGGATCCATGTAGATCTCCGGTTTCTGGCGCTGGCAATCCCGCCTGTCCCCGGCCAAGGCAAGGGCAACCAGCACCAGCGTAAGGCCTTGCCCCTGCGTCTCTGGTGCGCTCCCGTTGCCCAGTAGCCCACTTCTCCTGCACACAGCTCCGCCTCAGGACCCGTTACATCTACGTCGCTGATGGAGCTGTATCATTTCTTTGCTCAATAAGTCCGTTGCTGAGCGAAGGTCACGAGTTTCATCAGCAATTCAAGTTATATTGAATTCCAATCGTTGGCTCTCTTCTATCTACACCTACCGGGCACGCCTCTCTCACACTTCTCCACACGCACGCAAACATGTTAAAGGCTCTTCATCGCGCCTCAACGTCGCTACGACGAAAGCGGCGATGCTGGCGCGGCCGAGTCGTCGCAACAGTCCTCCTCCCCGCCATCGTCGTTGCCATTGTCACTGGCGGCGCCGTCGTCCGGGTGGTTGTGGTCCGCGATGCCCTCGTGCGAGTGGTGCGTGAGGAGGCAGCGCGTGAGCTCCTCCATCCACGACTCCTTCTCTTCTCTCGACGATGCCATCAGCACGGCCCTCTCCTCCCCGCCCGCCACGGCCAATTCGAACGCGTTCGAACCTTCACCTGTCGATTGTAGAACACGATGAGCGTCAAGAACCGCACACACGACACACGACACACGACACACACACGCGCACACACGGCACACGAGTCTGGCGCTGGGTACCGCAATCGTAGAGAAGGCATCGCGCGAGGGGGATGGCGGCCTTGAGCAGGCACTGCCGCGTCTGCAGCACGCGGGCCACGAGGACGAGATCGTTGAAGAGGAACACGCGTCGGCAGATGATCTCGCCTCGGCTCGAGAGCTTGTTGAAGGTGCCCTCGCGCAACACGGCCCGGTTGCTGTTGCCCGACAGGTCGAGCGCCTGCTTGGCCCAATGTGATGTGGTTGGGGGTGAGCCTCGCATTCTTCAAGTTCCATAGGAACGCACGCTATGCTTCCCCGAATAAAGAAAGGAATTTGACGTACGTCGTCGAGCCAGTGGAACGTGTGCTGGACGGACCAGATGGAGATCTGCTCCGACGACAGCAGCGGCTGCGCCGTGACGCCTCCGAAGGCGACCGCCGACAGCGCGGCGATGACTCGCGCGAACCCGTCGCCGTGTCGGTGCCTCGTGCCGGCGCAGTGTCTCAACTCCTGCTCAACCACCCGAGATGAGCACACCGCACACCGCACACCGCACACGCACCACCGCACACGCACACAGCGCTATGGGTGGCCGGTCGTACGGTGAGGAGGTGGGGATAGGCGAGCAGGTTCTGGAGCGGCCTCTGCAGGTGGGCGATGAGCTCGGCCCGGCTGTAGCCGGCCTGCCTGAACAGCGAATCCGGGTGGTACGTCGCCGAGTCCACGACGACCATCAGCTGCCGCAGCTCCTTGCTGTACGTCTCGTACATCCACTTGTGCTCCACCTGTTCGCAACACACGACACACACGACACACACGACACACACGACACTCGTTCGATGAGAATTGGGCCGAGAAACACTAAGGTGGGAAAACGAGGCGTACGGTGGCGGCGAAGCAGGCGGCGATGTCCTGGTCGGCGACGGGCAGCCGCTTGGTGCGCTCGAGCGCGGAGAGCAGGTGGCGGTGGAGAGCCCACACCATCTCCACGTTGGCAAACAGCCGGGCGACGCGGCCGCCCGCCAGCAGCTCCTGCCCCTCGCTCCCGCCGTCGCTCAATAGTCGCCAGAATTGCTGTTGACCGCACACGACACGACCAACGGCACACGCACGTCGCGGTGGACATGGCTAAGTCAGAGACCAAAGCCACACGACACGACACGACGCGACATGACGCGCGCGCACACACACACACATCGAGCAGAGGAGCGAGCGGGCGTACCGTTACGACGAGCTCGAGGTCGTGACACAGCTCGTGCTCCAGTCGCAAAAGCCTGGAGGCGACGAGCCTGTACTCGGCCTCGTTGGGTTCGACGCCGTCGTCCTCGTCCGTCTTAGTCGTCGTCGCCGCCGCCGCCGCCGCGGTGGTCGTGGTCTCACCCACGTCGCCACTGTCGGCGTCGGCCTTGGTCGCGTCGTTCTCGGTCTCGCAGGGGCTCCGGCTCTCATCGCCGTCGGCTGGTGCCGCCACCCCCTCGTTCAACCGCTTCTTGTCGTCGTCGGCGTTGTTCAGGTTCCCGTCGTCATCGTCAGATGAGTCGCCCAGAAGGTCCAGCAAATCTTGCTGGGAGTGCTTGCGGCGCGACTGCTCCCTTTGACGGAGGAACCCGTGCAGCTTCTGTGTCTGCTGCTGGTGCACCACCAGGTGCTCGAAGCTCGCCGGCTTCAGCACCACGTCCACCGGCGTCTGCGATCGGTCGTTAAGAAAAAAGAAAAAAACGTAAGCGGGCAGATCACCAAGACAAATAAAATCAAATTATATAAATCACAAATAATAAAAATAGGACAATAATTTAAAGTTTAAAAAGGTGGCCGTGTCGGTACCTTGTCGGGCTTGGGTGCGGCCTGGGAGGGGTTGGTGGCGGAGTTGGGCAGGTTGATGAGTGAAACCGGCTCCGACCGCCGTCGGAAGCGGCGCGTTTGCACCGGCGACGTCTTCCTCTCGCCGTGTCCGATCACGGCCACCGCCGACGGCCCCAGATCCTTCCCCGCCTCCCGCACATAGCCTCGCCCGCCCTGTGTCGCGACCCCGCGAACATCGATGATTGTTTTTTAGTCTAAACGCTCGGACGACACACGACACACGCCACACACACACACACACACACACACACACACACACACAAGGAATTAACTGCGTACCTTACGGGCATCGTTGTACATGTGACGGATATCGTCGAGCGTGTAGGTGCTGGCTTTCCTCGACAGGTTCTTCTCCGGGGCCGGCGAAAAGCGGCCTGCGCGGTCGGAGTGATGAATGAGAGCTGCAGCGTTAGAAGCCGTCGTGGACGAAAGCGAAGAACAAAAAGAAGAAGAAGAGAAACGAAAATGGCAGGGACGCACCTTTCGCGATTCGCATCAGCGAGCTGGCCGTGCGGCCCGCCTTGGCGAGGTCGATGGGCGCCGTGCCGTAGGAGTACCCGGCCGAGTTCCGCTTGGCGCCGCCAAGCGTTATCTTCCTCGGACCCTGCGGAAACCAGACAGAGCGCGTGTCGTGTCGTGAGCCGACCGTTGGCAAAGAGAGAAGAGTGAAGAAATAGAGGGAAGCGCCTTACCCCGGCCGTGGTTTCGGTAGCGGCCTTCTCCCGCTCCGCGGCAACGGCAGATGAGGCGTTGGAGGAGGAGGAGGAGGAGGAGGACACGGCCTCCTCCTCCTCCTTCTTGGCCCGCCGCTCCTCGCGCAGCTGTCGCTCCCTCTGCTTGTTGGCGCGCTTCTTGTCCCGCTCTTGGCGCAGCGCCTGCTTCCTGTCCTCCCGCTCCTTTTCCTTCCGCGCCTCCTCTGTTCGCTCCCACGTCTGTGCGCTCAGGGCCACCGCCTGCGAGCCCACATCGTCACACATGAGACGGTGCGCGTCAGGACCAGACCATGGGATCGAAGAGTCCTTATTGCGGGAGTGGTGGGGAGTGGTGGTTACCTGGTCGACGAGGCTCATCACACGCTCGGACAGCGCGGCGTGCTGATCCTTGATGAGAGAGGAGACAGCCGAAATGAGTGACGTTGGCACGCACGCACGCACGCACGCGAGTGTGTGTTGTGTGTGTGTTGTGTTGTGTGTGTGTTGTGTGTGCTAGTACAGTTACGGTTTGGCTCTCTGGGGACGGCGATTTGGCGCTTCCCTCCTCTGCCTGGTCTTCGCCCTCGTCGGCGCCCGCGTCTCGTTTGTCCACCGTGCCCTCGTCCATCGTCTTGCGCCGCTGCTCATCGAGCTCGAGCGCCGAACCCGATCGCGGCCGGGCCCTCTTCTCCGCCTCCGTGACGGACCCGTCGCTCCGCCGCCGCTCCAACACGGCCACGTCCACGTCTGCGTCCACGTCCGCGGCCACGTCAGCGGTCGCGTCCCGCTCGGCGCTGCCGCTGTCGCTGACCAGAGGCGTCGGGCCAGAGGCTGCGTCGCCCAGCTCCTGCCGCAGCTGGGCCAGCAGCTGGGCGAGCTCTTCGCGGTTGCGCTCGAGGAAGTCGAACTTCTTCTGCGTGAGGGCGAGCTTCTCGCGCAGATTGTTACTCGATTGCACCTCCTTCGCCAGCGCATTGCGTAGCGATTCGGCATCTTGGCTTCTACGTTTGCCCATGCTTGGAGAGGGAGCAGATGCAACGTCGAGAGAAGAGTTGGAAGTAGCGCCGTGGTGATTGCCAGTCAGATCTCGATCGCGAGGGCTGAGCGGGTAGCTCGATTCATCGCCCCTGGCGGTGGCCGGCCGAGGTGAGAGAGGATCGCCTCGCGGCGAGGAGAAGGGATCGTAGAGTGCATTATCCTCGTGGGCAAGCTTGAAGGAGAGGGTGGGCTTGCGCGGGCCTGCCTCACCTCCATCGTCGGCGCGTGCCGCCCCCTGATCAGAGACTGAATCGGTTCGTTTTCGCGAAAGGAGGCCGTTAATCATCCCCTTCACTCGCGCTGGCGAGGTGTCGCCTGCGGTCGTAGACAGAGAGTCGCTCCCCTTCCTCGCCCCAATCCCATCCCTCCTGTTGATGCCGGCCTGGTTCCCCTTCTCGTCTCGCCTCACTGGCGTGGAAGCCTTGAGATGGGCGCCCTTGTTGACGACGGCCCCGCCATTAATCGCGGCCTCCGATCTCATCTTGCGAGGGGGCAGCATGTCCTTCTTGATGTCGTCCCGCTTCTTCTCCACCCTTATATCTTTCCTCTTCGAGTCCCGTTTCTCGAATGTCCCGTCCATTCCAAGCTTGCTGTTATCTTCTTCGCTTCCAATTCGCTCCGCCATGAACGAGGCGAATGACGAAAGGAGGGTTTGGAGGCTTCCTCCTGCCGACGCTCACAAATGTGGTGTCGCCTCTTCTTTAAATCATGCAAGAGAGAGATCTGTCGCCCCCAACGGTAACGGTCCTACAGCAATCTTCCCACCAAACCAAAAAAGGAGCCAACCAAAAAACAAAAAAAAACGGTCAAGTGGTTTGGCTTGCACGAGACGATCTGATCGATGTTTCAATGATGAGCTGTGTTCTGTGTGGTGGAGACTGTACAAGGGAGGTGGTTCACGCCAGGAGATCCCAGAGCTGATCGGCCACGACGACCTTGGGGTGCTTGGTCGGATCGAAGGAGAATGGCCGCACATCGTCCACAAGTGTGACATCTGAAGAAAGAAAGGTGTAAGTGTGGTGCGTGAGGCACACGGGAGCGTACAGGGCACATACGTCCTTCGATGAAATCCGAATCGTGGCGCCATTGGATGTTGGAAATGCTGCGGTAAAGGCTCAAAAGATGCTTCGTCCGCGGCACCTCATCTCCTGTTTCTCGACTGATGGTGCTCGCCTTAGCCTGCATGTTCGTCTCGACGAGCGACAACCGGCTCAATTCCTCGTCCATCTTCTTGATGTTTCGCTCATACTGGCCGAGATTCGTCGTTACGAGGTCCTTCTCCTTCTCGAGGGCTGCAATCTTAGCGTTGAACTGCTCTTTAGATTCTTTTCGTTGCGCCTTCATCTCGATCTTCCTCACATCGGATGTGAGCGCTGCAAAAAGATTGTATGAGCGACCATACGGTCGACGTCAAACAACTGAGCGCGAGGGACAAGTACCTTTGATGGTGTTCTTCATTTCCGCTTGTTTCGCGTCGTGTCGAGCCCGAATGAGGCTCTCCTTTTCCTTGATGGCACAGATGAGTTGCGCATCCTTCTCATCGGTGAAGATCGACGTGAGCTCGGTCAAAATGAGCAGCGATTCGTGGTTCTGATTAGTGTGCATCTCCTCCACTTCACCTTCTTCTTGTCAAGGTTCGCGAACCTGGGCTGGCAAGGGACTTGGCGCCAAAACTGCCGTTCTGTTTTTCGCGCCAACCTTTTACGTTTCTTTTCTTTTCCTTGTTGTTTTTCAGATTGGCGACGAGATGGAGGCCTCTGCACGCGAGTGGACTGCGGAGGAGGTGGCCAAACACAACACCAAAGAGGATTGCTACGTCATCGTGCACGGTACGACCTCGAGTGCCTTCCACACGGAAGCGGATTCAATTAAACAGTTTAAATTGAACAGCCGTTTGCCACAGGACGAGTCTACGACGTGACGGACTACATGAATAAACACCCAGGCACTCCTCCCCCGCACGTGATCCATACCCTTTCAATTTAATCCAATAGTGGTTCTTGCAGGCGGATTCAATTTGATATTCCGAATTGCCGGTACGGATGCAACAAAGGACTTCGAGGGCATGTTCCATTCGAAGAAAGCGCGGGTCATCTTGGAGGGTCTCTGCGTTGGCACGTTGAAGGTACCCTTTTCCCCGGCCTAGCGCCTCGAGCCATGGGGACATTGTTGCTCGGGCGAGTGAGTGAGTGTCCATCAACGCCAACGCAGAGCGCTGCTGGCGGCAAGCCTGGAACCGCGGCGAGCTCGGCCAGTGGCGGGTTCCTGTCGCCGCTGGCCATCAAATCCAACATGCAGGCGTCGGTGCGCGGTCAGGCCGGCTTCATCGCCCCTTCTCGCTACATGTCGCCCGGCTCCGTCATGCGACCACCGCCGGCCCGATCATCCGAGCGGGTCCCCAAGGGGTTGGCCACATCATCAGCGATTCCAGGTACATGCCATCGCTCTTCCTACGTAGAGCAAAAGAGTGCTCGACCCGCACGAAAACTCATCATCGCGCACTGCCCGTGCACGCACGCACGCACACACACACACACACACACGCACGCACGCACCACACAAAGGCGATCCCATCCACCCGGTCGAGTGGCGCCGCTACACGCTCGTGCAGGTCCTGCCGCTCAACCACAACACCAAGATTTTCCGGTTCGGGCTGGCCAAGCGTGACTTGGCCTTGTCACTGCCGCTCGGCCTGCACATTCAAGTCAGGTACGCGCGTACCGTCCTTCCTTCTCATACACGTCAGCCTTCGACGACGACCACGCCCGAGCCAAGCTGACGCTCTGACCCCCGTACAATTGCCCCGCAGAGCGGTCATAGACGGCGAGACCGTGGTGCGCGCCTACACGCCCACCAGCCCACCCTGGCAAAAGGTAAGCTTCGCTCTTCGCTTTCTTCAGTCACCTTCGCACTTTCGTTAATTAAGGGGCAAGTGCGCGCAAGCCTTAATAATAATAACATGCTTTTTTTTTTATTTACGCGGTGCGGCGTGTGGTCCAGGGCACGTTCGATCTGGCCGTCAAGCGGTACGATGACGGCCCGCTGTCGCGATACATTCACGAGCTCGACGTGGGCCAGGTGGTGGAAATGAAGGGACCCAAGGGCGAGTTTGTCTACACGCCCGGCAAATGGACCACCCTCGCAATGATCTGCGCAGGTACCAGCCCCCTCCCCCCAAAGGCGTTTTGCTGCGCTTCGACAACTGACGAACTGAGTCCTCCGCCGCCTCCTCCTCACCGGTGCACGACAGGTACCGGGCTCACGCCCATGCTGCAGGTGATTCGGGGCATTTTTGAAGAGAACGAAAAGACGCACACAGTCGCGACGGAGAACCGACCCAAGATCATCTTGATCGCGGCCAACCGGCGAGAGGAGGACATTCTATTCCGTGACGAGCTGGCGTCCCTCCAGACCCGATTCCCTTCCCACATCCAAGTACACCACACCACATCACGCCATCCGTTCTTCTTCTCCTTCTCCTTCTTCTTCAGAGTGCTCACGTTCCGGTGTGTGATCTGCCTGGCCAGGTCCACCACCTGCTGAGCCAGCCGAGCGAGGAGTGGGCCGGCCACCGCGGGCGCATTTCACAGGAGCTGTTGGCCGCCAGCCTGCCGCCACCGGGCGAGGTCTCCGCTGCCAGCGGCGTCCTGCTGACCTACTGCGGACCCACCGGCTTCGAGGTGTTCGTCGAGAGCTCGCTCCTCTCCCTGGGCTACCCCGTACAGCAGCTCTTCAAATTCTGAACCACATCACAACAAGAAGACAACCATAACCTACAAGCTCACTTGACACCTCATGACAATGATGGTGATGGTGATGATGAATGAAAAAAGAGTTCTTGTCTTGTTTGTGGGGGGGGATTGGTGGTGTTCAGGACCGGGGCAAGGCGGCGGTGGCGTCCTCCTCGTTCTCCACCTTGACGAAGATGTTGCCGACGGCGAGATCGGCGGCGGTCTCGTCGGACGGGTCGAGCCGGGTGTCGAGGCTCTCGAGCTCCGCTTCGGTCTCGTCGGCACGGAAGGGGCGGCCCAGCATGGAGGCCTGCGGGTGCGGGAAGGGCTCCGTGTTGTAGGGCAGGAGCGTCTTCGGCGG